CCATTGTTTTTTTTTTTTTTTTTAAACTACTAATAACCTCTGTAGGCTAAGCTTCGTCTACTGCGTGGCTCGAACCAGACCCCGAATTTCCTTGGTCCGAACAGTTTACTTTTTTTTTCTCTCTCTCTTTCAATGTTTCCGTTTACGATTTGGATTCGACTCGATATTTTTATAATCGTCCTACTTCCCCTCCGCGATACGGTGGTCACTGTAGCATACTGATTCAGAAAAGAGGACTGCTTCTCGATTAATTTCAGCGTTCAACCCTTTGGGACATCGGAAGTCACTGTTCAAGGCTGTTGGCTACCTCTGACAGACTGTCGTCAGGGAAATGATCTGTACTTGGACAATTTTTTTCGACCGTGTTTGATGAAGTTTGATGGGGTTTGACGAGGGTGTTCATGACGTTTGATAGGCTGATTGTCACAGTTTAATCTTCCTGTAGGTTCACAGCGAAGTAACTCGGTTTGAAAAGGGATTCGATCTTACTGAGGATGTGATTTTAAGGTCCGTCAAATGTTTCAGCGATCCAGTACATAAAGTTCTCGAAATAGTGAAAGAAATGTATGGATCAGGTTTAGTCCATCGAGAATTTAACGTCCGCGAAGGGCGAAATGGAAAAGGACTATCCATGGTGGAATTTGCTGGGATTTATTTGAATAGTACGCCTACTTTGAACGATCGGAGCACTCGAGATACTTGCCATTAGTCGCTGTAGCATATAAAAATACGTCGTCTATATCAGGAAGTTACGTTGAATATGTATACATATATATCATATGTATATATATATAATAGAACAACTTTTTTTTCTAGAATTTCGCAAGGAGTTTAAGTTGGTCTGGAGAAATTTCGGAGCCTGAGTATCTGCGACACCATGTAGCGAGTGCTGGCTATCCCAACCCTCACCTCGGCCCCCCTCAACCCAGCTAATGATATATTCGATCTAAATCGTCTACAGGGTGTGTTTTCTAGACCAGTAATTCAACTTTCACTAGCCCGCACGAAACTGTCACTGGAAATTAACCTAAAATTTAAACCATTCACGTAGTCCAATGATATGCTGATTAATCTTTCTCTAAGACAACACCATGCTATGATCCTCGAAAATTTCGAATACACTTTTTAAAAAAAAATTTGACAATTAAATGACGACATTTGAAAAAGATTATGAACAGGAAAAACGAACATCGACCTACATCGCCATCTACAAACCGAAATTGTGCGATACACTCCGAACACCCTGTAGATGATAATCCACAACCCGGTACGGCTGTCCCGTTTGATTCACCGAATTGATTTTTGTTAAAGCTTTCACTACTGTCCCTCGTTTAAAAATCCCATAAATTTCCCTTCTATTTTGGCGGAAATGAGGGAGCACCAGAGACGGTAGCCCCCTTCGAAATCAGACGGAAGAAGTGGAAATCATTGTGATCGCAATGAACGGTTAGAAGTTATAGTCTCGTCGACGCTGAAGACTGTCAATTCCTAGGAGAGCAATTCTAGTATGTTAATTTCTTAGTAACAAGTTGGATACCATAGATGTCCTAAATGTATTTAGACCGTCCAGATCGAGACAAAAAATTATGCTTATATTTTCCCCTAGGAATCGAATCATGTTCAACGTGACAAAATGATTGAACGAAACAATAACTGCCTGTGTGCGTGTCCTTTGTATGGTGTGTGTGTGTGTATGTGTGAGCGGAATGTGTCCAGAAACTCGTCGAGAACGCCAGTAAAATCAGCGCAAAGAATCGTCAACACGCCGTTGATGGAACATCATCGATTCCGTCATCACTCCAGGCGACGGTATTACAGGCGTTTCAGGTACGTTTACGAGATATTGTGCCAGAAATACTATTGTGCGGCAGGCCTTCAAGTGATCCCTTTAGCGCCCACGAAAAATCGGGGCTCGCAGCATCGTTCTGTGCTAGCTGCGGCGGTTATTAGCGCGGGACAATTGAAAGGGCCTATTTAATACTTAAAAAGAGAACCTTAAAATAGAAGACGGGAACTTGTTGAACTGCGAGGCAATGAAATCCAAAATTGATGCTCAAGTAGACAGAACTTTCACTGCTGATTTCTAAAATAAAACTGTTCTTCGGATAGAAGATTGGAAATTAGTGTAATTTAACAAGAACAATCAATTTGCGTACTGAAGCTACTAAAAAGAACTGTGACTAATGTCTGTTGCATATTACTATTACTTGTCCAATGATCATCAGAAAAGAATGAAGTGTCCCCTTGATAATCAAAATCGAACGGAAAAGAACACTGGAAACAAGCCTATCCCAAGGAAGTCACAGAAGAGTCTAACCCAGAAAAACTGGAAACGTGATGTATGTCTGTGTTCGTGTACCCCAGTGTGGACGTGCGTATGTGACGAGTGAGCGTCCCGCTTGGACGCTTCCCTCCACGTCTCGGTAGAATCTATAAATGCAGTCGTCAGATTAAATAATGTAAATATATCAGAGATTCGAAAGACAGATCATAGATGCAAAGACTGGCCCCTTCGCTCATGCCGGCTACTCGCTACGTCTCTACTGATTGGTCGATTCTTGCTCCATACAGCCACTGGGGATTTAACCTCTGACTAACTGGCTCTATCAGTTCAGATAGATGTACAACTACCTGGACCAATTTCTGATTCCCAGAGATCAATCAGACCTGAAAATCAGAGTCTAATACCCATCACCCAAGAGGGTCTAGTCTTTAGACTCTAGAGACCCAAGAGGATCTAGTCTCTGGACTAAGAATCAAAGTCTACACCCTTCACCCAAAACGATCTAGTCTCTAGGCTAAGAATCGGAGTCTAAACACATCACCCAAGAGGATCTAATCTCGATATCATGAACCTGCAACCGTCTAGAACGATCCAGAGATCAGGAGTCAATAGATAAAGATCCCATTGGACCAAGAGTCTAGCAGCTGAAAGTTTGAACCATCAGAAGGGGCTTAATCCCGAATGGCTGATCAGGAGATCCCTCCCTAGAGTTAACGGCTAGCCTACTTTGGCACAAACAACACTGCCCGGGCCGGCACTCGCTTTTGTTATATATATTTTTTTGTAAATTTTCTTCTTGTTTCTTCGCTTCGCCTCATCAGTATCTTTCTCTCTGGCTCACGCAAAAGCACTCGCTCAAGCACGCTCTCTTTCTCTCTCTCCCTTCCGTTCTCTATGATTCTCATTCGCAGCCAGCCACTTCCACCCCCACTCTCACGCACATTCCCTACCTTCTACGATCGATACGTATATTTAATAAGATTTAATTGACTCCAACAGAACGTCGATTAGACAAAAATCGTCGGGTCCCCCGTCAGGAGCAACAGCGTCCCGAACGACCGGAACATCGTTGGGACGGTCCCCGTTAGGGAGGCCCGTTCTCATCACGACGACGCTACAACACTACTGATAAATTTGTTCTCGCCTCTTGACACGAAGATTGATACGTGTATATGTATGTGTGTGTTTGTGTTTCGGTGGGAGGTCCGTATATTCTCGCGGCCTCATCGTTCTCTCTACCCGTTTCATCATCTCGGCTGGAAAAACCGTTCCATCTGGGCCTCTCCCACTCGTTAATATATAATATATTTACGCTCTGCGAACTAACGGCTACGTGTTTATCATAGTTTTCATCATTTTTTACCTTATTATCTTACACGACACACCAGCGGTTCAAACATCATTCAAAAAACACAACAGATCCTACCCCTCCCCTACAGCTCCCTCTGATTCGGTTCGCGCTAACACGTCGCCTAACTTAGAGGGTTGCGTGTATGTGGGGTGAGCACGCTCTCTCTCTCTCTCTCTCTTTTTTCTATCGAAAGGAATGCTTGGAGATCAGGAACTAATCGTCAACCGGACCGAGACGAGGTTCGACGCTGCGACAGGATCCCTCCTGTGGAGGCGCGGAACCGTCTTCCAGGCGTTCCAGACATGATTTCCCCACTGATACGGTCTCTCCCTTCTAATCCACGTACAAACTCGTTTTTGTATTTTTTGTTTAATTAGCGATATGTTTAACGGTTCACACCTTCCCCTTTTCTCGATATACGTGGTGGCTTGATTCCTTATTAATACGATTAAAGATTCTACACAATCCTAAGCACCTAACAGCTAAGAGACCTGCGTCTGAAAAATGTGTACGTGTGTCTGTGTATGTGTGCGTGTGTGCGTGTACGTGTGATTAATACTTATCGTCGAACATACAAATTATAAAAATACCACCTGCAACGACGTACGACAGCGTTAACGATCCCCGCCACGTGGCCAGTCGAGCCGCGTACACGATTGAACCCGGACACGCGTCGACGTCGATCTAGCTAGGATACAGCCGTCGAGAATACTGAAGGTACACTTTAGAAAGGAAACAAAGTAGAGGAAATAGTTAAAGAAAAAATAAGAATACCGGGTGGCCCACGGAGAAGCAGCGGCTGCGACGCGTGGCGGAAGAAACCTCAAATAACCGGCTCGCGCGTCTTTCTCCCAGCCCAATCGAGCACCTTTTGGAGGTTGACACGATTGTCTGGCGGGGAAAGTGCGCGGTCACCTCGCGAAAAAAATAGCTAAGGGTCCCGTTGACAATTAGCCTTAACGGTTAAATCTTAGTACCCGACAATTAAGCCGTTTGATCACGTGAATTTCGAAGTGTCCACGCAAGTTGAAATGTCAGGACCGACACACTCGGTGGCTGCAACACGAGAAATCGAACATTGTCATCATCATCATCATTATCATTATCGGGTACCTCTACTTTCTTATGATTTTGCTTCTTCGCTTTGTCCTAAAACTGTGCACGTCGCGCTCTCGAGCCGACCGAAAAACGTCGACCAATCTCTTACAAGCTAACAAAGACGCCGTAATTCTTTGATCGCGATCCAACGAGACGACTGTCCCGTGATCCGTTTTAACTTTAAAAATCCTTAACACGTTACTCAGTTTGAAGGTGTGTAGTTCCGCTTGGCCGCGACCGGCTAGCGGTGTCACGTTTGTACTCCCTTCAGACTACTCGTGCGTTCTCTTTTCGTCTACACGGGAGATATACGCGTCCCCTATTTCACTTCTCTCTTTCTCTCTGAACGGTCCTGGCTTTCGAAGAAATCTAGTCGTGTGTTTCCTATCTTTCTCCCTCTGTCTCTCTCTCTCTCTCTCTCTCTCCCTCTCTCTCTCTCTCTTTCTCTCTTAAGGAAATTCATTATCGCGTTGTTCTGGAAAACCAGCACCGGTCCCCTTAACCGTAACGAGTCGCAGATTTTAACTGTTTCGATCACAACGAACTCGGACCCCCTAACTTCGCGCGCTCGCGGTTCTTCTGTATTCGCAACCCTAATCCTTTTTTGCGGTCCCAGAGTGTGAGAGGCGTGAACCCCTTAGCGTCTCTATTGGATGAAAAATTGAGAACAAAAATTTATCGAAATTGGACAGGACAGTTGTGTACTCCCCCCCAGATGACCGGAAGTACGAGTCCTTGGACCACCAGAGGTTGCCCAATTGGGGGACAAGAAGGCTAGGCTTCCTCTCATGTGTCGAAGGTGGTTCCCTCCCCTTCAAGCTGCTTTGTTTCTTTTCATTTCTTTTTTTTTTGTTTTTTTGCTGTTGAGCCAAACACTATTTAATGGCGGCCAGTCAATAATGTTGATGCCCTTGCAGGAACGTATAAACGACTGACTGGGCCCATCGCGCGGATCATTCGCAGTCATACGCTGAGCCGGGTGACCAAAAGGGGACTAGGGCGTAGGGCTGGTACCACTGCCGATCGATTGATTCTGATTCTTGTTAGATGATGCTTTTAGAGAACGATACTCTTAGGTGGTTGGATTCGCTCAGCTGGTAGTTGTGCATTTTCTGGAACAATTCAAAGGTACATGTCTTTAGCGTCATGGTAGCAAACGAGGTTATGTCTGGGCCACATGGTGTCCACTATGAACTTTGGAACTAGGGGATCTTTTATGACTATATCACTATAGTAAGTTTGTTTGTAACAGCTAGGGGAACTTCTATGACTCAATTTTCTATTATTTTGTTCAGTTTGTTTCTGACAAAAGAATGACGATAGGTTATATACCGGGTGATTCACGAGAAACAGAACACATAAATATTTCCGCTAGGATTGAAGGTAGAAGCAAAACGGTTAAAAAGGAATGGTTGTACTGTTCAAGAGGGCAAATATGAGGATATAAATAATTTTCTGATTCTTGATGTCTTCAAGGTCGTGTGAAGGTCATTGATGGTTTTTAAACGACACCATATATTTTCAACTTTATAGTGTAATAGCTGATAGCAGGACGAGGTTCAACGATGTGGTATACTATGACCTTCAAATGACCTTGGACTCGTAGAGAAGATACTCACGATCAGGGCAGCAACAGCATCGTCCATACTAGGCATCTGTATGAGGGCCATTTTCCTATCCTTGGGGAAGAACTTGAAATCCTTCACGGTGAAGCCGTTCTTGGTGAAAGCGTCCCTGATTTCCTCGTCGGTTACAGTATTACTGAAGGGAAACAATAACGGAGCAATGATTAACTATCATTCCATCGTCTTAACTAATATAATTTTAGAAATATATCACATACGGAATATTGGATAAATGCAAAGTCGAACTGGGTGGATAGATGTTCTGATAATTCTTCGATCCCGGTTTCTTGAATCGGTGAAGAGGACTGTTGGTGTAGTCCTTTGTGAGACCTGTATCTGGCTGACCCTCCTTCGGCAACTGAACAGTTTGATGCTTGCTGAGCATCACTTTGATCTGCTTCCCAAACACTCTCAGTTTGTCCATGTGTGTCAGTGCTGTTGCAAACAAGGAATCATTAAAAATGACTAAACGGGAATACATTTCCACGTACGTTTTAGTATTTTTAAGATTTCGCTAGAGGACGATCGATCGACGTAAACTTCTAATTTCAAGTCCTTTCAAGTGTAACCGTAATTTTAAACCCTCACAAACATGATCAAACGGTTTTAAAGCTCGTCAAACTTGATCAAACGGTTTCAAACCTCGTCAAACTTGATCAAACGGTTTCAAACTGATTCGAGCAGTTAAGTTTTCATACGTATAGTATTTAATTGTAATTACCCAAGTGTGCCTGGTGTGGTTCGGCCATCTGAATCAGTGCCGAGTCCTTCTTGTTGTAGAGAATCTTCACACGCTGTACATCCCCGTAAACGCCTACATGCACAACACGCAAACAGCACTTTTAATAAGATCGACTGGCCCACCATGAACCAAGCTTTTTTAAATGGTGGCGTCTAAGGATAATATCGGGACAATAAATTCAGTCGATCGAGATCGGGGTACGATCGGACTAAATTCTGGGACATGCAACGGGGACGATCGGTTCAGCTACAACATCGTCAAACTTGTTCAAACATCGTCAAACTCATTCAAACGTTGTGAAACATTTATAAGCATCAAATTTCGTTGACATAATCATGTCTATGTAAAAGAATTCGAATTAGATTTGCTAAAAGATCATAAAACGTTACAGCCTACTTATGAAACAACAGAAATTTTTAGATTTTATTCATCGAACTATAGCTAAGCCTTTCGACCCCTGAGAAGTGAGCTCCTATGGAATTACGTAAAATAAGCGAAAGCTTCTGTAATATTAAGGTGTCTGGAACTGATATTAATAAAATATTAACGAAAACGAATTTAGAAGAGATGCTTGAGAGTAGAGAACATGAAAAAAAAAAATAATAATGTATCGCCGAGCGGACAATGATTCGATGATCATGGCATGGGTGTGAAATGTGATGGAATGAGACAGCTGTAGTAATAAAATAAGTTGAAATCACGAAAATATCAGAAAATATATGAACGTTAAACGAGAATACCAGAAACGAATGAAACATGAATAAATTCTCGATTTAAATATACGTGAATAGGAGAGTGACAATGATCGAGAATTGTATACTAAAAAAAAGTAGTGAAACACATTCAACAAAAGTTTACTTTTAGAATAGAAGAAAAATCCTTTTTTTTTTTCGTGGTATGACGACGTCGATAGCGACGATCGTGAACAGACTATTACTTCTGTGTTCGTGTTTTCGATGTGTAACGGTGTAATTATCATTCATTCAGCATAAATTAATGAAAAAAAAATTGTAAATTCTTGTTTGTTCCTTCCGCTTACTCTCAAAAAATGCTGCCAAACACGCGGGAGAAACACGTAGAGAAACGTGGTCTATTGTTTTGTGTGTGTGTGTGTGTCCACGCATGTAAATATAATAATTAATAATGTAATATAATTAATAATATAAATGTAGAGACGTACCAAACAGGGTAAAGAGAGCGTCAGGCGTGACCATCTACACAGAGAACAGACAGAGTCCAGTCAGTAGTCAGCGAGTAAAATAGGATTCAATGTAATAGTGTTGGCACGCGCACAAGTTTCACGATTCTCATGCCTCGTTGTAATCGAGTTCACCTCAGACCTTTCGCTGCGTCAGAAAGTACAACGTCGAATCGCACGTCGATACCAATTTTAAACTAAAAATATGAATTCTCAAAGAAAAATGAACTTCCATCGTTAAATACAATCTTTAGATGAGACAAAATCAATTGGTTTCGTAAAATCACTTCCCCCACTCTCAGTTAGGAGGTTTTAAATGTACTAATGAGACATAGTGGGAGAAGTGAGGTTAAGTGACCAACTTAATTTCTTTCAATAATTTTAAACTTAACTTACAAAAGTTTCTACTATTAATTTCAAGACATTCTAAACAATTTTGAAATTTTTTGTGTACAAATATTTAAAAACTGAAGGAACCACGTTAACACTAATAAAAAGATCATGAGCAGTTATCGTGTAGTTATACTATTAGAGGTTTCTTCTACGTTATATACGTGGCATACAGCAAAGATCGAGGCGCGATTCGACAATGTACCGACGTATACACATACACGTCAGCGAAAGAGGTGGAAACCACAGTTTTCCGGACGATTTTCCTTCGGCTGTCGGCCCTCCGCAATCGTGAGAAGAGAAAACAGATAAAGAAACAGTGACAGTACAGAGAAGGACAGATAGAGAGACGGAGTGAAGCAGAGAGACAGCGGGACCTTCTCGTCAATATGAATCCCTCGTGGTTCTGTCGTTCCTCGTAACGCGAGAATAATTTCGCGAGAGGTTAAAATTAAAAAAAAAAAAAAAAAAAAAAAAGATCGAATATATGAAGATATATTCGAACGTCTGCTAGAGGAAAAAGACAGTGGTCCGAAGCTTGTGCGCGCGGCGCAACGATAGTAAGTACACATAGTTATAGTACAGTAGTGACAACAGTTGCAGCTGCGAAGTGTGACGTCGACACACAGTTTCTTGATGAGGCGCCTTTCGTTTCTAGATTCTAAAGGTGCGTATCCACTTGTTGTATATCCTCGAATCGTATCACTGTTGTGTATCAATGTGAACGGGCAAGCAGTGCATCGTTGCGCATGAAAATGTACCGTATCGTGATACGATACGAGGATAGGAAACAAATGGATACACACCTTAACGTGTTACGTTACCGACAGAGCAGCATCACTATGTTACCGACCGAGTATTCGATCAGGTCGAGTGACTACACATTTTAATTATTTTTTTTTTTTTTTTCAAGATAATATTTCTGTGTGAAAAATGCTTAGAGACAAAAGACGCCTCGCAGGAAGTGACACTGTAGCCTACAACGCTACGAATCTCACGTCAGGACAGAGAATGGTGACGTTCGGAACGATTTCTATATGTGTGTTTCGAAAATGAGCGGGGGTGGGTGGTTGGGGTTAAGATATAAAGGGTTCGTGACATAAAATAGGGGTTGCATACGTATCGAAGACCTCGATTTCCCTGGTTGCCGAACGAGACACTCGCTCGATACCGATGAAATGAAATAATTACAGACTTTTCCGCGAGAACGGATTTCGTTTCAATCGGTCGATGATAGGAAGAGATGATCGTAAAAAAGAAGAAGAAAAAACGAGCGTATCGAGGACTGCTCTCGGCAAGGGAAGGCTCGAGTCGAGGGGGATGAAGAGACTGCAAGGGTTTGCCTACGTAGCACTACGTTGGTAATCGTATCGCCAGTTATTTGCGTAACTTTCGTTGTATATGTACGTACCTAAGCCAGTTTCGTGTACATAGGCGGACACTGAGAGAAATGAAATATTTTACAAGCCCACAGAATATAAATGAAATCTTCACAACAATGATATCTTTACAAAAATAATATTAAAAAATGGTAAACATAATCGAATAAAAATTAAGTCGGTTTAAGGCCACTGCCCCTACTGTGAATCGTGATTTCTAAAACTACAACATGCCAGAATCGTCGGGGGGGAATAGATCTCTGATGGCCTTGAACTGACAATACACAAAAGTAAATTATGAAATTACCGTTGTCACCGAAATAAACGTCTGGGTTATTTCTCTCAGTGTCGAATGAAAGTAATCCTAATCGAAAGAGCGCAATCGGTCGATCGGGAGCAAACAATCATCCTAATGATCGATTTCTCTCGACATTTATCGACGTTCTGCGTCCTTCAGTGGATGAACAAAAGAGACACGAAGAAAACAACATTCGTTAGAGATTCTTTTCGAAACTTAGTGAAACATCGAAAACTCCTAAAGTGACATTTTCAATCTGTCTTGTAATGCTAACACGAGACTGGTAGCAATTACGTCACTGCACTATAATGGGGTGTTCCACCTAATACAACCCTTAGTTGTGATTATATAAAAAATATGTTGCAAACAATTTGAATGGTGTCAAAGGAAGGAATAGGCTATAAAGAATATTTTTGTGACGATGTCATTTTTTCCAGGGTTCTCACTGAAATAAAAGTGTATATTGTTTTCCCTTACATATTGTAGCTGACATTACAAGGTATTCAGAGATTTTAATGACATGACCTTGAAATGACCTTGAGAACTTCGAGAAAAATAACCTTGGCATAAAAATATTCTTTGCAGCCTATTCCATCCTTCAACACTATTCAAATTGCATGCAACATATTTTTTTATATAATCAGAACTGAAGGAAATATTTAGGTGGACCACCCTGTATAACACGCAATGTCGAAAATGGGGTCCAGCATTCGACCCCAATATCTGTAAGGTCTTTCTTCGTGCTCCGATTTTGGATCTCTTTGACCTTGGGGCCATCGTTTTGCAACGGGACAATTAATGCCCTAGTGGATCCACTTACCTCTTCGTTCAGGTTGCTGACCAACAACACCGCGGAGGCCTGCGCGTTGGGCGGCACACGGACGCCAAGGCCCGCAGCGCCAAGCGGGAAACCGCCCAGTCCGACCAATCCTCCGGCAGAGGGCACTCCGTTGTAAGGACCCGCTAGGGGCGAGGGTAGACCGTGCATCGCCGCAAAGGGCGTGGGCAGCACACCCGGTGCCCCTGCAATGGACTCTACTTCAGGAAATTTACAAAGTATCGTTAATTAACATCCATGGTCAAGCCTCGGTTCGCTGAGATGCAAGGGATATTATTTCACGGACGGTACGGTTAATCTAATTATTCGGGCATAGAAACATTCAGAGTACAGTACAGTAAATCCTCGATGAGTGTTCGAAGATTTCTTGGCCCTGAAGATTAAATATTTCAGGATTCCAATCTTCATCACTGTACTAAACCTCAATACCTGGAACACTCATCGAAGATGGAAGAGCCTTGGAACATTCATCGAAGATTTACTGTAGCGCCCCTTAACTGACGCAGGCTGAGGTCCACGTTGAGACAGTTATCGTGGACATTAGGTGTTTTCTAAAAAGTGGTGGGGATTAGTCCCCGTCAATTATGCGGGGAAAAGGTGTGTCTATTAAGCGAGGACTACTGTACTGAAGACGGGACGGCCAGAGTTGATTCGCAAGTGGTGGGGAAGCTGATCTACTTCCACATCAGGAACCACGAAACATTGCTCCCTTCCATACCGTAATGTTCACTTCAATACCCTGGCATGGTACAGTAAATCATCGATAAGTGTTCGAAGGCTCCTCGGCACTGAGTGTTCAGACTTCATCCCCACCACTGGGGGATCCCGCGTGGAAACAGTCACGCGCCTAATAGTGGAAATGACGTCGAACACTCATCGATGATTTTCTGTATTTATTTTCAGTTTGGTTCTATTGATGCATGGAAGGGGTAGAAGGCGTGAATCACTTTTCCATAGCTTCATACAGTGTTCCGTCTACACGATTTTTGTCAGGGTGTCATCCCCACCTAGGGGGGGGGGGATTCGTAACGCGCATACTTTACTGCCCCCCTCGATTCTGTTGCCGAGGCTTGGGTTTCGGGCAAAAAATTTACAAGAGTCTGCAGCATTTCTCCTTTTCGAAGCATGTCGCGACGCGGGCCCGAGCTCTTGACAATAATCAACAGAACACTGTACTACCAAGTGGAGAGGTGACAAATTCCCGTATCAACTTTGGCCGTCCAGACTTTCGGTAAAACATGTTACACGTTAAAAATGAAATCACATCTCGAAGTTACCATCCACACGAAATTCATAACCCTCCGGCTCATCGGACAAAATGAAAATTCCTATAGTTAATTCTCAGTTTCTGACATTAGTCGACCAAGTGGGAACCAAGATAAGTGTAAAGTCGTGCAAATAGAAGGGGCCAGAGATGAAGGAGGCGAAATGTGGGAGAAGAATCGGCACACACGTTCGGTCGCATCGATCGACGATGGTGGGTGTCGTGTTCTCCCGGTTGCAAGCGCAATTAATTAATTTACCGGTAGGAAATAATACCGTCTGACCGCACGCAATTCGATCCAGCTCGAAAATGGAGCTGAAAACGACCGGCAAATTGGAGGCGGGCAGACGCCGGCAGGCTCGTCCAGTCACGAAATAACAATTTATCATATCGTTCGAATGACAGAAACGGGTCGGTATTGCTATTAATATAATTAATTTTAATGGACTGAACGCTGGGAAATCGCACGGCTAATTGATCGATCGATTCCCCGGTCCAAGGGGGGGCCATCGATCCGCAGCCGATATGGCTCTCGGCTGTACTACCGTGAAAACATCGCGAGGGGAATCATGGGAAACGATGTAAAATTTCGATGACCCGCGTTTTACTCGATTTCCCGATCTGTTTCTCGTTCCCCCCGTTTTCCATGAAATTGTTTGCGAATTTTACATGACATTTCATTCATTTCTCTTTATATCCGTTTAATGACCAAATAACAGTTGAAATGACTAAGCAAAAGAGAATATAAATTCGTAAATCTAATATTTAAACGAAAAGATCGGAATGAAAGTGAAACTAGTGTCGAAGGACCTAGCGACAAAAACAGCGCCACCGCGGCGAAGATCAAACGAAAAGTGGCGGCAGAATGTTCTTAAAAGTGGTGGAGACCGGATATTGGAACGAAATTCCTGGAACAATGGAAATACACATAGGAAAATCTGTGAAAATTAAATTTTCATAATCAAAAAAACGGAGTGACGGTTCCAATATTTCCCGTTAAACCAACACGGGACTTAGGTTACGAAGTTGTCGAGGGAAATGAAATTTCACATATACTTCGTCCCCGAGTCGGGGACGTTCGCTTCTTCGTTATTGTACCCCGCGCCATTATTGCCCGGTTCTACCTGGCTCAGGTGTTAATTAAATTTTGTCTTGACGACGTTATCATCCCTTTGTCGACCGATGAATGGCGAGGGAAGTGAACGGGGATATCTGAAGTTCCAGGAAGTTAAGATTCTGGCTGGATCATTTCCACGCGAGAAATTGTTTTCCAATGGCACTGACCCGTTTTCCTATGGTTCCACAGTATCCTTCAACGAAACGTCCAGAATGCACAATATACTTCTTTAGACTTCGTTGAACTCGATTGGTCGTTGAAGGTCACATTGAAGTGTTATTCCCACAAAGTGGACTATTCCTTCCAACAACTCGACATTTGCGTCGACAGAGTGGGGGTCATGTATGAGTAGCCAGTTGAGTTAAAGGAAACGACAGTAATGCATCGATGAGTGTTCGAAGGCTCGACTGAGTGTTCAGACTTTGACTGGTTCCACGGGAAACTCCCCCAGTGGTGGGAATGACGTTTGAACACTAAGTGCCGAAGAGCATTCGAACACACATCGATGATTTGCTGTATAATATTGTCCCAATACGATCACGCTTCGTCATGCCCCCATATCATTCAGTTGTGCAATATACATACTTATTTTTATCATTATCGGAAGCTCCATATGTAACATCATGATTGGAAAATTATGAATTGTGCGTTAAACATTTCTTATATCATTACAACGAGAGAATTTATTTAAGTGGCCTCCTTTAAATAGGACACCCTGTATATTATAATATATTATAGCCTTCAATATCTCACTTGTTTTTGAAGATACAAAAAAAATGTGAGGGGAAAGTATTATTTGGTTGGAAGAAGCAAATACTATGATGAGCAAACATTTTTCTCAAGATCATATTTTTAGAAATTTCAAGGTCATCGATGTTTTTTTTTAAACGAGACTAGATATTTTTATCCGCGTAGAGTAATAGTTGAGGTCAAGACCAATCTAACAACCTATAATGGTGTGACATTCATATGACCTTGAATACGAAAAATCCACAAATTTGAGTAATTTAGATAATAAAATAACTACGATAGAGGGACTAGTGAAAAAATGTGCCGAAGTTGATGCACATCACTCTGAGCATTTATCATAATTAATTTTCTGCAAATCAAAAGCAAGTAAGATACTAAATGTGCTCTCGTTAGGTGGGACACCCTGTATAATGATGTCTTCTATGTCTGCGATAACACGTTTAAAATGACCAAGATAAATTCAACTGAACATAAGATGACTTCGAGATGTTGTATAGTTGGCCAGTAAAAAATAGAATGATAAAATGGGATGATTAAGAAATAATCGCTACTCACCAGGTATTCTAGCACGTGGTTGGGATCCACCACCCATCAGCAGTTGCGGAAGTAGCTCGCCACCTAGAGCCAGCGAGGCTGCGTCCAGGTTCGCGTCGCCCGTGGGAAGAGTGGGATTCGTGTAGTCCCGCGACTTGTCGTTATTGTACTTCACGTTCAGGTTCTGCATCTTGCTGTAGTCGATGCGTAACGTGCAGCAGCAATTGTAGATAAATAAAAAGTTTCAACAGACTAAAAGGGGACTGAGGGAGAACCTGTGGCGCTTATACAGTAAATTATCGTTGAGTGTTCGAAGGCTCCGCCGAGTGTTCACGCGTTATTCACACCACTGGGGGGTCGCCCGTGGAACCAGTCAAGCGTCCAGTAGTGGGGATAACGCCCACTCAGAACACTCACCGATAAATTACTGTGCCTTTGTTTACACTGTCATCTAAAAGTTTGGAACCCCCTTACGAGGAACCTAGATCTTCAACATCCAAAGAATAATCTAAACTCCTGAATAGCCCCATAAACAAAGTACAGTAAATCTTCGATGATTGTCCGAAGGGTCTTCGGCACTGACAGGGGGATATCCCCAGGTGTAACGCTGACTTTTTCACGAGGTTTAACACAATGATATTTTTTTCAATCGCATATGACCACTAGTTTATGAAATATTTAATGTTCACTGCCAAAGAGCCTACCAACACTTATCAAGGATTTACTGTATTAGCTTAAATCACGCACACTATAATGATCATACGCGTAAACGATCACGTGTAACATTGAAAAATAAACTACCACACAATTAGGACATAGGTGAGCGACGATCAAGCAGAAGTAACGGATCCCAGGAGTCCTTAACGGTAGCCAACGCGTTAATAACGACTGCTGGCCGCGCCTAATGAAGTAGCAACGATGCAGTCAGGTTAGAAAGACGCAGTCTGATTATGTATGCAGCTTCCCAGTACGGAGGAACAGATATACACAACACAGCCTGGAGCTGGTCCAGGCAAACCGTGGGGAAGCACAGTTTGTTTGGTCGGGTCTGTGCACCCCACAGGCAGCAGAGCATTGTTGCAAACGTGCACACGCGTGTGGGGACGCGGGGTGGCTGCCACCCTGGTTCGGCTGTATCTCTCTGTCGGCCATTTACACGGGCTAATGAATTTCATACATAATTACCAGACCTGATATGCGTGCAGGTGGCTCGTGGCGTTACTCGAGGGTTAAGGCTAACCTCCACCGACAGGGGGGTTGTGTTACCTACCGTTGCATCGGGAGATGAGGGTATCAGGTTATGGTGAACGGTTTTCGAGATACCGATAAAAATAATGGTTACTGGAGAAGGGTGTCTGTGCCTGACGTGGACGGCATTTTAGTCCAACAAAAAAAAAAAAAATGACTAAAGGTGGGTATACACAGGGTGTTAATAAAAATTGGGGACATTTACACACGGTGACTTTAATATGTAGAATTAACGACGAAATTGTGGGCGAGGCTTCTGTTTACGGGGTACTAATTGTTGAGAATACTTCTGTGTCTCTGTACAGGGTGTCCTGCGTAACGCTTACGACGATTTTTCAAGCATTTCCGGTGATCTGGCGAAAGAAAACAAAAGTTAATCAGTTTTTTAATCGGCTAAATGTTACAAACAAAATGTCAAAAAATTAGAGAAGGGCATTTCAAAGTCACTCGTCTTCTCACGTGAGTTGTAATACTATGAATATACAATGCCATTTCAAAAATTGAAGGTCACCTTGACTTTTTATCCAAAAAATTTTTTGTAGCCGATAAAAAACTTATCAACTGTTGTTTAAACCACTGTTTCGCCAGATCACCGGAAATGCTGGAAAAACGGTGGTTAGTATTACGTGGGACATCCTGTATAATTAATATTTCAATAATGATTTAAAATAATTGGCAAATAATTTTTTTCGAGGTAGATATACTGTATATAGACCGTGCATAACTGCGCAAATAGATTTTTGTCTGTTGAAAGTTTAAATTGTATTATAAATTTTAATTAAATGTACGGGTTATAAGTGTATAAAATCAAGAGTCCAGTAACGGAATAAAAATATTAGAAACACTTGTTAGATTTAATTTTTCACTGTTTTCATTCTCAGCCAATAGAATGCGCCAGAGCAACCGCCCGTTGGTCAAACGTTCTTTAAAGCGTGCCCGCGGCTCGTTTCAGCCGGCCACGATATAAAAACAATTTAATTTCAGATACCAGAAGAACTTTGTTAATCCACATTACGTACTCTTTGTACGTCAGCGTAGTCACGTCGTGCCATTTCTGGCCGACTGATGAAAAAAAAAACGGGGGGGGGGGAATATTGCGTTCTGGGATTATGCATGTGGCCGTCCAGCGCGCGCACGCGCACACGAACGCGTTTCTAACAGATTTTTAATAAATTTTCAAGCACGATTTCTCTTGCCCGAGCCGCTGCGTAATCAGTTTCAAATTATTTCGGTCTCAACGGTTCTGCCTGGTTTTCCCCGTAAGCAATTAATTAACCACCTTCTGTAAAGCGAACGTTAATAATTACGAACGTTTCCCGGGGAAAATTCTTTCGGCTTGAAATTAACAGGAATTAATAAACAGTTGACACTGCCGGGATGTTTCGAATGTGGAGTTCGAGGAAACGGTCGCGGCACCGGGATTAAATTGAAAATCGAATGAAGGAACTTTGTAAAACGTTTACGCGACCGTGCACGCTGCCGCCAACTGAGGGAGTTACTGCGCTCTGCGGTAGCATTGTATGTTTCACTTGGGACTACTTTTTTTCACTTTCGATATCTGGAATTTTACTAGAAAATGTTTTTCATTAGAAGAATCTTTCGAAATGGTAAATTTTGTTCGGTACTCTCTCTATAAACACGCTCTATTGTACTTCTATTCATCACGATAACATTCCTCTCTTTATGAACACACTATATCTGTTTCTACTCATCATTATCGCACCTTCCTCTCTATAAACATGGTCTGTCGTACTTTTACCGCACCTCTCTGTCTATAAACACGCTCTATTGTACTTTTATTCATCACGATAACATGTCCCTCTTCATGGACACATTATATATTCTTACTTTATGTCTAATACTATATTAGATTTTTACTTTATGTCTAATACTATATTTAGTATTTAGTCTATACTATATTTTTACTATATTTTTATCTATACTATATTTTTCTCTATATGTCCCTCTTCATGGACACATTATATATTTTTACTTTATGATGATCGCATCTCCCTCTCTATAAACATGGTCTGTCGTACATTTACCGCACCTCTCTGTCTATAAACACGCTCTATTGTACTTCTGCTTACTACGATAACATGTCCTCTTTAATGAACCCATTATATCTGTTTCTATACATCATGATCGCATCTCCCTGTCTGTAAACATGGTCCGTCGTACTTCTACCGCAAGTTTCTGTCTATAAACATGCTGTCATACTTCTACTCATCACAATTGCATCTCCCCCTAGTATATTGTGAAATTACCCAATTCAGTAAATCCTCGACAAATTAAATATAATCGTAAAATTGAGTGGCTACAAGGAGGCAGTACCATTTAGAATATTTAGATCGCTCCACCCAGCTCTAGATCTTTAAACACTCCCTTCCTCTCTACCATCCGAACAAAATAATCAAATACCATTTTGTACAATATCGGATCGAACGCGTCAAGAAGAAATGTGGAAAGTCTGCTTATTTGCATACGAAATATCGAATAACGTCAGTCAAAAAAACCCTCCCCACGACAAATCTCCGCCCATTTCCGTTCGGTTGAAAGAACGGAGGTTCCGTTCCTAGAGAGTTCTTCATGGAAACCGGTTTCGCCGTTAAACGTGACGAAGATATCGAATCAAAAGTGCTCAGACCCGAGACACACTATACCCGCGGAACGTGATTTCCGGGCCACCAGTGGAAATTTCGCGGAATTTACCCGCGGCGTCGTCTAACTGGGCGTGTGTTGCACATACATACACGCTGCTCGGCTAATAAAACCCGCGGATCCGAATTTTCCAGGTGTAATCGAGTTCGCTGGCAGCAGCACGGAGAACTCGTTCGTCCGCTCTCGAACGACCAAAGAAATTCGATTAACGCGGCGGAGTTTCTACCCTTCCTGCATCGATTGTTTACCACGCATCCAGGCCTCCCCCCTCCTGCACACTCGCCCAACCCGTGTCCTCGCGCACGTTGCCCCCAAACCGAGTGAAAATTCGTTTTTTCTTTCCACGATTCTTCCCGCCCGCCCCCCTTGCCCACACCCCGTGACTCCACCGCCCTTGGCCCCCGACTCCTCCCCCCTCGGCCCTCGACTCCTCCCCCCCCTCCTATTCCCGCGCGCCGAGCCATCAGCGCGACTACTCCGGGGGGCGGCCGTGTGCCTCGGCAGAAAAAAGCCTTTGTCGGTTCGTTTCTACCGGCGGGGCAAGCGAATGCGATTTCGCAATTTAACGGAAGTCACAGAAACACAACCACAAAGCGGCGAACGGAACGCCGGGGCGCGAGAGACCCGGCCGACCGTTCGTAGATTTTTTTTCTCTTTCTTTTTTCTTTTACGAGTTCGATCTGTGAAATGTCCGCATTATTTTCCATGCCTTCCGTGCCCGTGTCGTCCGGTTTCACGGGGGCTGCGTGGAAAACTCGACCACGAAATGAACGTTTTAGGAACACGCGCGCGCTGGTTTATTAACTTCTGGCTGGGGTCCATTTGGTTGGACTTGGATTCTATTGTGCCGAATGAAGCTATTCTTCTGTCGTTTGAAGAGATAATTGAACGGTTGACTTTCTTTTTTTATTGTGGGAGGTTCGTAGTTAAATCGAAATTGAATTGATTATTTAATAGTTCGATTGCCATTTAGTCTCCATAGAATTTCAGCAGTGTTTGAATCCTCTGGAAACTGTTACAAAAAATAATAATAAATAATCCTCGGGTTTCTAACCTTCTCTAAATTAATGACAGTACTAAATTTATTTTAGTAAGTATTTCCTTATAGATATTAATTTCTGTGACTATACGAATTAGATCATGCCATAGCTATAATCTTAAAAGAAATAAATATTTGTGTTGTTTCCAGTGGATTTTCTTTCGCGATTGTATCGCAATTGCAGCTGTTTGAGTTCACCTGCGCTTTTTTTACGCACGTAATGTAAATATTAATTTAATACGCGGAGGATATGTTTCACGGGAGACAATTACATCACGGGAATTATAATGGAAACGAAAGTCGA